GAAAAAACCCAATAGGATAAAAATCATAGCAAAAGAAAAAAGAATACATCATTTATCTATATGTGTTTATATTATAAATACATAAGAGCATAACATATTTATCTAGTTATCATTAATAATTTTATCTATAAAGTCTGAGACGTCAAGATGAGTTGATTCATTTATAGGATCGTTGTGTTCATTAAAATTACTTCCTTTTCTTTCTCCTCCAAGGATGCCTTGTAAAGTTTACAAAGATGTTATGGTGTTCGACAAATTTTAGATCAATATCCTTTAGTACCGCAGCTATAATAGGAATTTTTAAGATTTCAGGAACAATTTGCATCAGCATATTTTCTTTTGCCAAGACGTTTCTTCTGGATCACGTCATTTTGTGAAGGGTTGTAATAACCACTTCTACCATGTCCTTGACTACGGCCTCGACTACGTCCACGACCACGATTTTGCCCCCAGTCTGAATTTTTAGAAAATGCAGCATTTGCTTCTGGAAATGCTATTGAACTAGTGGGACGAGACTGATGATTTTTAATCAACAATTCATTGTTGTTCTTTTCCACAAGAAGAGCTAAGATTAGCCTAAAAATTTTCTTATAACCGCGTAAATAGTATTGTTGTTGCAAGGTAAAGTGAGAAACATGGAAAGTGGAGTAGGTTTTCTCTAGCATTTCACCATCTGTGATATTTACTCCACAAAATTTCAATTGCAAAACAATTCTAAACACGGCAGAGGTGTAGTCGTTGACTTTCTTAAAATCTTGGAACCATAAATTGTTTCACTCATCACAAGTGGCGGGAAGTACAACTTTTTTATGGTGGTCGTATCTCTCATTCAGACTTTTCTAAAGGACAAGTGGATCTATAACCATGAGATATTCGTATTTCAAGCCTTCATCAAGATGTTTACGAAGGAAAATCATTGCTTTCGCCTTTCTTGTGGCGACTTATTATTATTTTCTTTAATGTTATCAGTTAGACCTATTGACTCTATATGCATTTCTACATTTATGTTCCTTGATGTCGAGGGCAACGAACTCAAGTTTACATGATTCGACATAGTGATAACTTTCACTTAAATTAATAAAGGTAGAAACTTGTAGTAGGACTAGGGTTAGGACCTACTTTCTTTTGACTTTAAGGTAGATGCTTGTAATTAGATGAGAACCTCCTTTTAATCGCAATAAGAATAAAACGTTTGTGTTGATAACGTGTTATGAAAACTAAAAAAATACAAAACTAAGAAGAAAAACTTTAGAGAGAGAAATGAGAGAGAGAGAGAGAGAGAAAGAGAGAGAGAGAGAGAGAGTTTCATTAAACTTGTGAATGTATATAAAATGAAGAGCCTTAGAGCTATATTTATAGGAAAATTTTCGATATCATTTACGGTTACTATTTACATAGTACTATTACTTACGGTCACTATTTGCATAGTACTTACTATTTACGGTCACTATTTGCATAGTAAGATTCTGATATGAACAATAACTTTGACTGACTTACATAATAACTTTGACTGAGGTGGACAGCCACAATTCATAACAAATAGCATATTTTTAACTCCTAATTGAAGTAAATAACATATCTTTTTAATGTTGATATTATATTATATCTCCATTACTCATCTTAAAACCTTTTCTTGTTTCTTTTCTCTTTTTCTCTCAATTTCTTCTAAACTCTCTCTTTACCGTGATTCTCTCTCTACAGCCTCTCAACCTTTTCCAAACTCTTATTCTCTCTCCCCTCC